CTAAGGGCAATGACTTCCCATCGTGAAGCGGAATTGTTTGAACGAAGTGATACAAACACCAGATTGAGACGTGAGATGAGGCCTTACCGTGACGAGCCCGAGTCTAGGATGTATGRGGGAGGAAACGAAAGGCTGACCCGCGCTTTTGAGGAGCTCACGTTAGTGATACAAGAGCAGCAGAAAGAACAGGAAAGGCATCGTGAGATCCTTGAATCCGTGCTTCCCAGATTGATYAAGGATAAGTAGGTGTTGTAGCTCGGTAAACTGTTCAGCAGGGCTGGTCCCATAATGTATGCGTTTAACGTACTGCAAAGCCAGTCGCTTTTGAGACAGACTAGGGCCATCTTCGCATCGCGCCTCCAGATGGCATGAAAAATTGTAGATTCAAAGCTTTTCAAGTTTGTGGAAAGGATGTTTCTTATAGACGTGTGTTTGCTTGAATCCATCTTGGGCTCATACGGGATCCGGGTTGACTCAACCTGGCGGGGCGTTATCTGCGTCAGCAATTCAGTAGGACTTGAAGCCTCTCAAGCCTCGTTTACGAACAGAACCCTACAGCCACCATGTAGGCTGGATCATATCCTTGTTCTCGCTGCCTCGGTCTGCAGCAACCATCGACAGTGATTGGGTCAGATTGCACAGACTCCTCAAAAGTGAGACATAACAACAGACTGATGGATGTTACATCAACCATCAACAAAGCAAGGTGAGCGAGTTAGACTTGACCGAGGACACTCAGGTCGCCTTGTTGGCAATGTGTGGCTTTTACACATCAAGCCTAGCGATAATATCAATATTTCTTCACATACGTTTCAACGACGCTGACTTATGATGGTGCGCTAGAGACTTCTGTTGAGTCAACCTCCTGTCTGTATCTTACAAACCATTGGACCTCAGGTGTATTGCTTGATGATCACGCTCTCCAGATGTGAGTTCACATCGCTATATCCTCAGCTCATCGATTCCCACAGTCTTAGTAATAACAACTGTCATGAATATCTGATTGGCGTTGGGCAGAAACAAGTCCTGTACATCAGATCCTATTGCGGCAGTGTTTGGCACTCTTCGATGAGGCTCTCCACGCGGTGCTGCATTGGCATGAAATCGCGGATATCATAGCTTGTTGGCACGCGTTGGTTATGGCCACAACCAAGGACGCGAACAGATTTCGTATCATACGGACGCGTCTAATCTTCACAGGACACGTCAGCGTGTCAAAGATCACCCAACCGCGCAAGGATCTGGGTTGTTGACCGTACATATCGAAGCATCGCAGGTCCACTCGACATATCTAGGCTCGATCTGATAACCATGGAAAGATAACTAGAAACGACATTTCTAGTATCTAGATGAATCTGTTCCACGCGGTTGGAAATAGGTGATCGTGATGACTTGAATACTGGGTGTAGTACAAGCGATTCGGCTGACCTTTATAGGGGTTCCTCGTGTGAATAGGCTGGCTGGCTTGTCCCGGTCCGGTCTCTCAAGCGCATTCCTAAAAGCAGATTACTGCTGCAAATCGTCCCGATGACTGTAACCATGATAATACGGGCCACATGTTTACTCACAGCGAGGATATCGGAAATGATGGATAGGAACAGGACAGAAATGATCTTGACAGCACAGATGTAACTGAACATTTGACTCTAAATAAGCCTGAGAGCTACTTCTCTACATTGGGTTTTTTTATGACAAGTTACTTGCGATCCAGTTTTTGTCTCTTGAGCAATATATGAACTTGTGGAGGGAAGATCAGGTAAAGCAGGTCACAGTTCGGCCGAACAATGGATCCGCGAGACCGGATCATTACCGTAGCGCTCACTTCTTCTACCGATTTGTTTTCGAGGTAGAGATGAGTTATTAGAAAGAGGCAGTTGTGACGAATATGTCTGGAGAAAGTAAACGGGTTCAAATGTGAGGCTGTGATTTAGCTCCAGTAGCTCACGGTTAGTATCAGCTTCCGTTTTCCGTTT